GCCGCGCAGCGGAAATCCGCGTGACAGCCAATCAATATGTTGCTTTTCCGTAAGAGCTGGAAGATTATTACGGAAAGCAGCATATTGATTGGCTATAACTAATAACCTTCTAGCTGTGCAGAAGCCATTAGCCTTCGTCGCTTACGCGACTCCCCTCACGCGCGGCCACGCTTGCTTCTAAATCCGTACAGGACTTAGGGCGGAATTCATAGATGTGTCTTGAGTTTCAAGACGGGTTTAAGCTAGGTCTTAAGATCGCGATCAATTCTGTAAGAAACAAAGACGATTTATCAGTCTAACGGATAACTAATGTGATCTTGATATCAAAATAAATAAAGAAGACAAAGAGAGAAAGTAAAGTTCACCTTATTGTATATAAAAGAGAGAAGACAAGAGTCTGAGAGACAGAGAGTGTCTGGGTTTTGGTGATGTATTAGATTAGCCTTTGTGAAAAGGTTTTGACCTTTCGGGCATTTGATTTGAAGAATTGTTCGGAGGTTATTCTGATAGAAGATCTCATTAGTTGGTTAATATACGGTTAACAGTGTATTTATATTTTGTGTATTACTAGTTGAATGATTTTATGTATTTCAATTAATTATAGTTAATATTGCCTTAAAAACTATTTGCTTGTTAAAACCTTTGTCATAAATGAGATCGATAACATAAGAGAATAATTCGATTGTTTGGAGTTTCTCTTACAACTTCAGAAGTGAGATAGCAAACTGCACTTTCTACAGATCGCTTGAATTTATTTATGAAAACATAACATTGAAGGTCGAGTTTTGTCTGAAAATCGAGCAGTTGAAATTTGAATGCCGGGAATTACGCGAAGTCAGCGTGGAAGTGCACGCGCATTTGACATTATAATGGAACGTCAGCGATTGGATTCGTTAACATTGGATCAGCTACGGAACAAGGCATCGGCGTCGCAAATACAGGCGGCCAATAATCGTGAGGCCATAATAGATGCAATTGTCAACCATTGGAACAGGCACCCGCATTTGATAGAGATCAGTCAACCTGGATCAACCCATTGCTCCTCAAGTAGCTGTTCAACCTGCGACGATGCCCAGAGCTAACGAAAGCCGGTTGGATCTAAATGTATCAGTAAATGATTTAAAACAGATGATGGCGTCAATTAATTTATGCCTGCAACAACAGCAACAAATAATGCAACAATTGATGCTGTTGACAAATCGGTCGGTTAACTCAGCGGCGGCCGGAACAAGCGTACAGCCGAAAACAAGTAGTGTGGCGTTTGGTCCTGGGCCGTTGCCTGAATCAGTACAAAGATCGGGACAGAATGTGCACGTAGGCGGTTCTCTTGATACCGTACGCCCGATTTTGAGCTACGATGCCACCAGCAAACGCGGTTTCGCTATTAACTATGTAGATTCCGACATTTGGAGCCGAAGAGGAAGAAAACGTACGTTTATGGGTACAGCGAGTTGATAGAGTGGCTCGGATACATGGAGCGACAGATGACGTGATATTATTAGCTGCGTCAAGCAAATTAATAAGAGCTGCGCATCGTTGGTATGACATTCAGACCGGAAGAGTTTTAGAATCTTGGGTGTGTTTAAAGGAAGAGTTAATTAGAATGTTTGATAAAACAATTCCGTTTTTCACGGCTATGCAACGCATTGAAGCCAGGAAATGGTTGTCTTATAGAGAAACATTTAATCAATATGCAGTGGATAAACTGTCTCTCATGCATCGTTTAAATTTACCTGAAACTGATGTCATTAATCTATTGATCGGAATACAAATAAACTCAATTAGGGCGACAGCATTAGCTATGGGTTCTGTGTCGCTAGATCAGTTTCTCGATACGATGAGACGTGTAACTGAGGGAGTCATGGTTCATGAGAAAAAAATGTTGTCGACTGCACGAAGTCTTCCGATTAAAAATACTTGCCGTAACTGTGGCAAGGATGGTCATTCACATAAGGAATGCAGAAATCCTATTATTATCTGCTTCTATTGTAAGGAAAAAGGGCATCGGTCTACGGAATGTCCGGCCTTGATTAAACGAAATAGAGCGGATTCTACTGCACGTCCTAAAGACACGGCTCCAGCATTAAGGACAACGGCGCAGACACCGACAAGGGTAGCGGTAGTTAATGAGACCGACGAAAACAGGTTGAAGATTTCTGGACCTTTTCTATCAATTTTTGAAATCAATGGTAAGTCTCTGTAGTTTTAAAGCCTTACTGGATACTGGTAGTCCAGTCTCTTTTCTTGCAAATAATATTTTGACTAAATTTTTTGACTCGACTGTAGATATAATATTTTGTGGAAAGCGAAATTTCCAAACCTTAAATTGTTCACCGATAACTACACTAGGGCATGTTGAAACTAAATTAAAAATTCAAGAATTACCATTTCGTGAACTAGAGATTGTTTTTTATATTCTTCAGGATGGAATTTTTGAAGATAATATGATATTAGAGCGCAACTTTTTAGGAACTAACAATCTAACGTTGATTTATCATGCGCCGGATAAAGAATCGTCGCGATTGTTAGAGCCGTTGTCGAATGCTCTGTTTCAAATAGACATTTTCCAGAACGAAAATGATCTGGAACGGACATTAGCACTTGTAGAGGAGAATAACACTGATTTCGAGGTTTGTATTAAAAAACAGTTAAAGGAGGTATTAATCGAAGTTCATAATTGGTCTGAACCGGTGATTGAAGACGACTATTCGACGAGAATATATTTGAAAGATAATGTTCCATACGCCTATGCGCCGCATCGCATTGCCTACGAAGAGCGAAAACAAATACGCGAACTCACGGACGAACTGCTTCGTCGCAATATTATTAAATCGAGCATGTCTCCGTTTTGTGCACAGATCGTGCCGGTTAGGAAAAGAAGTGGATATTTAAGATTATGTATCGATTTGCGTCCTCTGAATGTAAAATTAAACAAGCAAAAGTATCCGTTTCCTATTATTGAAGATTGTTTTGCTCAATTGAATAATAAATCGATTTTTACCTACCTTAATTTAAAAGATGGGTTTCATCAAATTAAAGTACATGCGGATGATACCAAGTATTTTGCTTTTGCAACTCCGGATGGGCAATTCGAATTCACTCGTCTGCCGTTTGGGTTTTCTAAATCTCCGGCGGAATTTCAGAAACGTATAGTACAAATACTCCAGCCGTTTCGTGATCAAAAGATTTTAGTATACATTGATGATATATTGATACCGACGGAAACAATCGCCGAAAACCTACAAATACTACGCGAGGTGTTGATTATTTTAAAAAGATATGGTTTCGAATTAAATTATCGTAAATACCAGTTTTTGCGGAGTAAAATAGAATTTTTAGGATACGTCATATCCACTGAAGGCATTACCTTGAGTCCGCGTCATGCCGAGACGGTGGTAAATTTTCCGCAGCCGAGATCCGTACATGAAGTGCAGCGATTCCTTGGGCTAACCAATTATTTTCGCAAGTTTATATATAATTATACGCAAATAGCCAAACCATTATATAACTTGCTAAAAAAAATTGGTTGATTCTGATAATTTTGATTTTGATTGTGTAAAGGCTTTTATGGATTTGAAGGAAAAACTCACATCATTTCCGGTGCATTTTCTTTATGCATATAACCCTAAAGCGGAAACAGAACTTCACACGGATGCTAGTGCATCTGGCTTGGGAGCAATTTTACTACAAAAACAGAATACAGGAAAATGGGCTCCGATAGCGTATTTTAGTCGCGGTACTAATCAAGCGGAGTCGAATTACCACAGTTTCGAGTTAGAAATGTTGGCGATTGTTAAAGCCATTGAACGGTTTTACATATATTTGTATGGATTTTACGGTGGTGACAGACTGCAATGCATTAGTGCTGTCAATAAAGCTAATTTGAATCCTTGCATAGCCTGTTGGACGTTACAGCTTCAAAATTATAAATTTCGCGTTGAACATAGACCGGGTAAACATATGGAACACGTAGATGCGCTAAGTAGACGGATTCTGTACATTAACTCATTACCCTTGGAGAGGGTACTGGAATATAAACAATTGCAGGATCCCCGAATAAAAGAAATAGCTAACGAGTTAGAATTTGCCGAGTAAAAGAAATTCGAATTGGTAGATGGGCTTATATATAGAAAAAGTACAGATCGCCTTAGATTTGTCGTTCCAGAGATCCAATGATTTGTCGTTCCAATGATCGGCAATGTTATTCGGGCGTATCACGATGATATGGTGTACTGCGACGTGGAAAAAACATTTTGCGGTATTTATAATACATATTGGTTTTCCTCCATACGAAAGCAGATATTTGATCATGTTGAGAATTGTCTGACGTGTGTTGTGGCTAATTCATCGACTAGAGCAAAGGAATGAGAAATGCAGACAGACACTACACTAGTTTCGCCTTTAGATCAAATACATGTGGATCACTTTGGACCTCTTTAGGAAACTGAAGATGAATGTAAATACATAGTAGTAATAGTAGATGCATTTACTAGATTTACATGGCATTTTCCCACTAAATCCACAGGCGCGCAAGAAGTAATTTAAAAAGTGAGATTTTTATTTAACATTTCTGGTAACACAAATCAATCGGTTTCTGACAGGGAGTCTGCTTTTACTTCCAATGAATTTTCAGCTTTCCTCGATGAATTGGGAATCAAACATCGAAAGGTAGCCGTTACTTCACCATGGTATTGTCGAAAGAGTGAATCGGTTTCTTAAAAGTTCTCTAGCAAAGTTAGTAGATAGGGGGTTGATTGTATACTAACACAACTTGATGAAAATTACAAATGTGAATAAATCTAGATTTACAATTTTATTGGTCAACATCTAATGAATTTGTTCACTTTTGCAATTTTCACTATAGCCGAGTGTCAGGAAATAATGTTGTTACAACATACTGCATGAGAAATATATTTAATGTTCATATATCTAACTAATATATATGTATATACATATGCAATTTTTTTACTATTTAAAATTTATTACAACAGGCGCACGTATAATTATATTATTGTACATTTTATTACATATATCTTTTATGTAAGTGCGTTTTTCGTAATTTTTTTTACATAATTATATAAAACAATGCGAACTTTATCAAATGTAAATTTACAAATGCGTACATCCCAGAAAGAAGATGAAAACACATGATCCAACTTGCCTGCAAGCAAACCCAAAAACAATTCGATTCTTTTCCTGGCTTTATCAAAACATAGGCCCATATCCTGTAAAAAATTATTTACATATGATTTATTATTACTTATTGTTATATTTAATGTATTATTACATTTTATGATATATATATATATATATATATATATATATATATATATTCCTTAATATGATATATACTTTAATTAAATTTACTTACTTGGATTTGGGGCTGGAGGTCCTATTCTGTACATATCAGGAGGACCAAATCGCGGTGGAAATGGCCTGACTGGTGCCATTAGAGAAGGACGTCGGCCTCTTCCTAAAGAAGGAACCTGTCCTCTGGGAATCGTGACCATAGGACTCACCATAATAGGTCTCGGAGGAAAATTCTATTGGAAAACCATATTGAAAAATAAATCAATTATAACTATCGGCAGTTCGTTAAATTGATAGATTTGTATAGATTTTACTAACACTGTAATAAATAGGCACTGGTACATGTTCAACGTAACGTGGTGCTGTAGCTCTTCTGTCTATGGATCTCGATCTCGATCTGGATCTGCCTCGATCCCGATCTCGATCCCGATCCCGATCTCGGTCTCGATCCCGATCTCGATCCCGATCTCGATCCCTATCTCTGTCTCTGTCTCTGTCTCTTCTTTCCCGAGAACGTTCGCTTGATCTATCGTAATATCGGCGATAAGATCTACTCTCCACAATGGACCTCCAAGAACAAAATAATAATAATTGTCAGATTTTCAATTTTACTCGACATTTCTCTTGCACATAAATAGAGGCCTGTATAAATAATAACATATAATACGAATAATTATTTTATACCTAGAATCAGAAATGCGTACGTCACGATTTCTAGAATTTGAACGATCGTGCCTCTCGTGTCTTCTTACATCCCTGTCCGAATATTTTTCTATACTGTCGTGTCTGCAACAGAATACAAATTAATTTTTTAGAAATACATAATGTGTGCGTTTATGATTAATACAATGTGATATCTATCCACATGGATTTTTTAACAAAAAACAAGTTCGATTATTTTTTATCAATAAATAAGTAATCTATAGGAACAAATAATGAGGCAAGTAAGAGCCAACATCGATCATTTAGGCGGAATTAACAATATATTGAATATCAATAAGACATACAATTTTGTATTACAAAAAATTCATACGTTTTGGTCCTCTTTTTGGACCCTCTTCAGTGACAGAATTAATTACAAATAACGCAAAGTAAAATAATGTCGCTAATATTAAAAATCAGTTGAGATTTGTATCGGCAATCATGTTGTACCAATATGATAAAGACATTGACGGCTTGACTGTGGTCTTTAATTGAACGAAAATTTTAATATTTGCTACATCAGAGATAACATATTTTTTTAACTTACCCGACAGCCAAACCGCCAAACTTAATCACTATGGTCATCACACTAACGTTCGTACAAATGTGAAATTCGCCAAGATAGAGAAAGGAATAAATATATTCAGAATCATAACAAAACTTCAATTAAAGTTAAGCGACACCAAAACAAGAAAGTCCACTAACATCAGATAAATCAACAAATTAAACACACGGAAGTCTCTCGACAATTGATATGTAATCTCCATAAAAACCCAAAATATCGTCTCGCAAATTCTTTTGTCTGATTATATAAAACATTTCTGACAATACGTTTGGTGTAAGAACCTTCTCTGTCTAAAATTAAAACATTGTTCCAATCAAATTAAATAAGTAATATACAATTTATCTTCTTACCTGTCACTTTTAGGATAATCAATATATGTTCTTTTAACATGATATTTTGACTCAGTATTTGGATGTCTAAAACGGAATAAAAACAAGATATTAAAAGAACTGAATATTTATTTATATTATCAGTAGATTACGAATAGCAATTATACGTACTTGGTGCGATAAGACGATGGATATTCAGGACTGGTATTGCGATTTTCGATAAGGCTCAATGATGACGAACGTCTTTTGGAAATTTGTAATTTGTCTGCTGAAATTGAAATGTCAAAGTTAAAGAAATGCATATCTTCACATCACCAGTGCTATAACGTAATAAACATTTGTAATTTAAGATTTAAGTCTAAGTGCGCCAAAATTCTTTCTAGTCAAAAATTAAAAATTGATAATAGAAAAAAAATATATCTTGTAGAAAATATATATCTGTAGTATTCAAACTGAGTTTATCGACTTTTCCATGTCAGTTAGCTCATTCTCCTCCAAAAGAGAAGTTCGTTAAATGATATCTGTTCGAATTTTGGCGCATATTTAAATAAAATCAACCGCGACTTTTCATTTTTATTAAAATTGAGTAGTAATCGTAGTAGTTCATAATAATATATACCTGATTGCTCGTCATTTATAGCTACAACCGTACGCTGTTCCTTTACTTCAGTAGCCGCCTTTTTCTTTTGTATTTCTTCCCTCTCGAACAATGGTTTACATCCTTCTCCTGTATAGTTTATTACATCTCTTAATGAAATACAGTTGACATAAAAGTTACATACTAATAATAAAATAATTTGCAACCCTTTTGACTATTTAAATAACGCTACATTTTTATATTTAGACTTGTCGTTAATCATTATTATTGGATGTCATTGTAACATTAATAATAGTGCAAATATTAAACTTGCGACTTTTACTTTTATAAACATATATAAAAATAGAGCAAATAATGATAGTAAAAATACAGTCCTATATGTTTCGCAAAGACTAAATAATCTTATTATTACATTACTAATTTAATACTTATTTCAAGATTTTTCAGATAATCTTCGATGTTGATAGAAATATCTTCAATGTTGCTATGAAGAAAATTCTAAAAGTGAGGTATGTTTTAAATAAAACTTTCCGATGGAAATATTTTACTGAAAGTTCTATGAATTCCTTAAAAATTACAGTAAAAATGATTAAAAAATTAATGAATGCATTTTAATATGAATCAATTAATATTCTTAATGACATTTAATACTACAAAATGTAACAAAAGTTAATAAATACTATTAAATAGATACTATAATTGCAAATTTTACGAAATATTGATTTTTTTAGTCTCAAATTTTGCCTATATTAGTTGCAGAGAATAAGTTGCCATATTGATTACAGAGAATTGCAAATATTTTTACATATTGGAAGTATATAAGTATGAAAGTATGGAAGTACATGCAATGATGAATTGGAGCATTATTCAATATATGATGAAAACGATAAAAATTTTAAAATTGGCATCTCAAACAGTCAATTGCTGAAAATATATTTTTTGAGTTCGTCATTTACTTCGATATCTTTTTAAGAAACAACGAAAAAATGTTTAATTATAGCAGTTTTTCTGCAAATCTTTTACACTTTTTCAAGCATCTAAATTTAATTGGAAATATATATAGCAGTATTCTTCGAAATTTTATCGAGTGTAATAAACTTATGTTCGGTAAAATTTGCAGCACTTCTTTATCAAGTTAATGTTTACATTGACAGCTCGAGATGTCCATTTTGAAACTTTTTGTCGGTTTTGTCAGATATTAAGCAAAGCTCCAATTAATTTTTGTGCATACTTTTATTTTGCAAACACAAAAGCATTCGTAATTCTGTGAAACCAATAAAATGTAGACTTTGTAGAAAAAAATCAATATCTTGTTGGTAAAATTTTCAAATATATTATTCTCTTACGATACTCTCTTACAAATTTTTAAAATTTACTAATATGCATTAAAATTTCCTTTTGTATTATTTATTTAATATAAGAAATAGTGAAAACTATTGAAGCATTATGGAAAATTACTTTAGCGGTATAATACGTTAGATCATAGAAGAATATACGTTAGATATTGAATTTATTACAGCCTATGAAGAATTTATAGCGGGCAACTAATATATGCTGCTCGAATAATGCATTGCACTGATATTTCATTTATTTACAATATTAACGTTTATAAATTAATATTTTAGGATATTTAAGAAATTGAATTAACTCATATAATGCGATATTTCCTATTTTTAAATATAATTTTACAGTTACAGAGTTCAAATAAAGAATTTCGCAATGCATAAGATGTTACTTGTTATCGCGAAACTCATCGAAACAAAGCATTTTAAAATATTTTAGTAACTGATTGCAAATAATCACACGAAATTAATCATGTTGATCTGTTTGGTGCTTAGAGAAACAATTCTTGCATTGAACAGACTAAATCCATTATAATAAAATATAATGGATACATATAAAATATATATAATATCTTTTTATAATGTAATATATATAACAAATCCTATTGAAAAAAAAAAAAAATTTATATAACTAATATTTCTTTAAGATTTCCTTAATAAATTTAGTTTTTATAATTTTACTCAAATTTCAATGAATATTAATAAAATGAGTTTTATTGATAGAGATTTCAATATGCAATTTGATAATATTCCAATATAATCTAATCATACTTTCAGTAAAATATTTCCATCAGAGTTATAACATACCTTACTTTTAATATGTTTCAATATTTGAATTATGCAGAATGTATGGAAATATTTTAGGACATCAAAATCTCAAAAATGTTGGTTTTATAAAAAAAATGTTTCAGACAAAAGTTGTAAAATTTAAAAGGCCTATTTACTGATTTTATCAGTTTGACTTTGAGTGACGTCGTCAAAGTCACCTCGAATTTTTTAAATAAAATCACTATTTTTTAATTATTTATTCTTATAATCCCTTTTGAGATCTTTCCAAAATAATCCCTTACCAACCTTGAATCACGGAAAATTATCCTAGCGGTACAATATATTAGATATTGAATTTATAGCAGCCCATAAAGAATTTATAGCGGGCAACTAATATATGCTGCTCGAGTAATGCATTGCGCTGATATTTCGTTACTTACCTAACAAACCCTCCCAATTTCTTTACAATCCCACTAAGCAATCTGTGCGCAGACTAACGTTAGATTGACAACAGATTCAAGCAAGATCTGTCGACAGATCCATAGACAACTGTGTCCTCAATTTGCTGTTAGACTGTCGACAGAGTCTGTTAACAGACTTTGACGGCAGATTGATAGCAGAAATGTTGCAGACTTTGTTGTTTCATCGCCCAAGCAGCATATATACATTTCAGAAATATTTAACAACCGATTTTTAGAAGCTTTTTAACTCTTTTTCTCATGAGTTAAAATATCCACATATTCAGATACTTCTTTCGATATAACATTCGATGAAGCGTTTTTTTTTTACAAAAAAAAAACTTCAAGAAACCATTATAGAAATGCCTTTTTTAAGAACGCAAAGAACACTACTTTTTCAGGTAGAAATTCAGGTAGAATTAGTAAGAATTAGTAAGAATTATTAAAAACTATTGCTAAGTTGTCATTGTATACTGACCTTGAAATTTAACTATTTTTCTTGATTTTACACTATATTATATTTAAGAATTCACATTTAGCACTGGTGAGACTCGAACTCGAAACTTCTCTAGATCCTGAGTATCACTTGAAGCACTACACTACTTCTTTGATTGATATAAATGTCCTTCGTATTGTCTTGATATGATGTAACCAACACAGTAATTTTTTATATTATAATTTTGCTACAAAAGTAAATAATTTGGATAAAAAATATATTTTTTGTGCTTTTATTGTTAATTTAATAAAATTTATGAATATTATCGATTAAATTTAAATTGTAATCGGGAAGAATGCCTGTTAATCTATTTTAACATTATTTACTATTAATAACATCTTATATCTTAAATAGGGTGTTTGTTAATGATAGTATGCGCGGGGAACAATAAAACAAATCCTAAGGTTTATCCCTTAAAGACATATACTTGAGATTCAAGTGCATAAAATATGAAAAGCTACAGAAATAGAATAGAAGAAATGAGTACAAATATAGAACAAAAAATCTGAAAAAGCCAATAAATAGACCTTTTTAAATCTTACAACTATTGTCTGAAACATTTTTTTATAAGACTTCTATTTTTCACGATATTTTGCTGTAATGAAAATTTTTCTACACGCTGTATAAAAAATATTGGTTAAATAATGTCAAATACATTACTACATTCTACATACATACCTTTTTACTTCTCTAAATTCTTCTACTCTCTAATACATTATCCTTTATTCCCTTAAACACTGAATAACCAATCGTGTTTTAATTGCAGATTATGGTTGTGCAGTTTTTTCAAGATAAAAATGTGTGCTTCAGTATATATTCTGTGAGAAAATATCTAAAATGGAATATTAATATTTTATTGACTTTATGATACTCTAATACGTAGCTGTCAGAAGTTCAAGAAGTTAAAAAGATGTTGTATTTTAGTTGTTATATTAATAAATTGTTTATAAATTTATCATTAACTACGCATAGATATAAATTTTTGAAAATGCTATGTTTGCATTAAAAATATTTACATGTTATGTTTGTAATAAAAAAATTAAAAAAAATTACACATTGTACTACTTACCTAATATGCAGTTTCATATAAATTTAGATCAGTATATAATGCATTATTTCCTTTTAGTTCCATAGATTAAAGAAATTTACTATTATAAATAAAGATATATATCTTCGCCGGAATTATATTGAATCCAGACAAGTCTTCTAGCCGATCCTTCCAAAATATTTCTATCTTCCAGTGTTGTAATATGTATTGTTAATTCTTCTATTGTCGCATCTTGTATTATGTATCTTCCATTGTTGTATCATATTATTGTGTATTCCATTATTGTACCTCTTTTGCTATCGTATTTTCCGCTGTTGTATTTCTTGATTATTTATCCTACACTTCTCGTGAAAACTCTTACAGGGGCTTTTTGTTGTTGTCACACCTATATGCCTTATCCTACTTACATGTCATGATAGGTAATGTATCTTCCTTTTGTTTCCTTACTTACATTTTGAGCTGAAAATATAAGAAAATATCCATTTAATGACAATGACATTCCACCAACGGTGTAATAACTAATTATATATTTTTCTTTTGGTGCAAGTAAATCTTGCGGACTATGTCACAATTTATGTTGACAGGCAAAGGCTTAAGTTGACTTGTGTCAAAGGCTGAATGGCTAGAGAGATCATAAATATGCTGCAATAAAAAATAAATCTTATACATCATTAAATAATTATAAACTTGTACCTGTTACATCTCATCAGAATATACAGACTTGCTAGTGTGTTAACATCTCCATATTGCTCAGTCTTTATATATCTTACATACATCTTTATATTGTAGTTATAAATGTATCAGCTATTACCTATGTCTTCTAGTTATGTCATACATTTAGAAATATAATTTTTCCTATCCCTTGATTCTTTCAATCAATACACGATATACACATGTCCGTCTCTATCAATGTCAATTAAACCTTAATTTGAGTTTAAGTCTTTGTGTAAAGAGAGTTTAAACTCATGTTAAAAGGTTCATCAACATTGGTACTAATTCGTAATATTCAGATTAGAAGTCAGATTTTTAAGTTACTTAAAGTATCTTAAATTATGATGTACAGCATAGTGGGTTCCTCCATAGTTTCCTGCAAGCACAATATATAAATATATGTACACATCATCTTCTTATCCTAATTTGAATTACCTTTTTGAAGGATAACGCACATTAGCTAAGAGTAGAAGAAAACCGATTTATGCTTCAATAAACAGGACGCCAAGATCATATTCATTCCAGTTCTTCTTCATCAATCATCTTCATAATAGATGTATCTTCTAATAGATGTATCTTCATCATCTTCATCTTCATAATAGATGTATCTTCTAATATTGTAACTTCCAATGTTGTACTTTTTGATATTGTACCTTTCGATATAATATCTCCAAGAAGAATTTAGAAAAAAAGAATATATATAGTAATATATATATAGTAATATATAAATATATATAGTAATAAATATATATAGTAATAAATATATATAGTAATAAATATATATAGTAATAAATATATATAGTAATAAATATATATAGTAATAAATATATATAGTAATAAATATATATAGTAATAAATATATATAGTAATAAATATATATAGTAATAAATATATATAGTAATAAATATATATAGTAATAAATATATATAGTAATAAATATATATAGTAATAAATATATATAGTAATAAATATATATAGTAATAAATATATATAGTAATAAATATATATAGTAATAAATATATATAGTAATAAATATATATAGTAATAAATATATATAGTAATAAATATATATAGTAATAAATATATATAGTAATAAATATATATAGTAATAAATATATATAGTAATAAATATATATAGTAATAAATATATATAGTAATAAATATATATAGTAATAAATATATATAGTAATAAATATATATAGTAATAAATATATATAGTAATAAATATATATAGTAATAAATATATATAGTAATAAATATATATAGTAATAAATATATATAGTAATAAATATATATAGTAATAAATATATATAGTAATAAATATATATAGTAATAAATATATATAGTAATATATATATATATTTGACCAATATTTTTTTAACCAATATTTATTTAACCAATATTTTTTGTACAGCGTGTAGAAAAATTTCCATGACAGCGACATATCTCGGAAAATAGAAGTTTTATAAAAAATGTTTTAGAAAATAGTTTCGTAGGACTTAAAAAGATCTATTTATTGACTTTATCAAATTTTGTATCTTCTAATGTTATATTTTCAATTTGGTCTGAATTTCTTCCGATATTGTATCTTCAGCGTTATATTTATCTTCAATGTTTAATATATGTATCTTCAATATTGTATTTATATTGTATCTTCAAAGTTATATTTTTATGATATATCTTCAACGATGTCTTCTACCCGCAAATAATTCAAAATGTATCCGAGATGTCTTGAGAAGTGTTGTAGAACATCTTGAGCGAGTCGAATCAAAACGATCTTCTGATGTTTTATGCTACAGTTGGAGCCCAATTATAAGTTTAATTTTAAAATTGTAGAACTAATGAACTATAAAATGAACTATAACAATGAACTATAATAAACTATAAAATGAATTATAACAAGATTTATATCCCACTTTTAATAGTGCTAAAGTTGCCTAATTTTTACCAACTATATACGTAGATATAAATGTGTTCGCGCGGAGTTCTATTAAGAAGCGGCTAGTAAGCGATAATATAGAGACTCTAATTAGTATTATTAAAAATATATATAAAAAAGAAAGAACTTATAACAGAGTTATAACGAGGTCCTACTATATCTAGACTGCTGATGTTATATCCGATATTGTATCTTTAATGTTATATTTATGATGTATCTTCAACATCGTATGTTATATCTTCAACGTCGATTACAATTTCATTTTCATGTTATATCTTCCATGTTATATTTATGATATTGTATCTTCAATTGTGATATTATATCTTCTGTTCTGCTCTCATGCGTCGAGATATTCCAATGTTCTATCTCTGATTTATCTTCAGATGTTGTATCTTCAGTGTTGTATTTCTGATGTATCTTCAATGTTGTATTTCTGATATATCTTCAAGTGTTGTATCTTTAATGTTGTGTTTGATATATTTTCAGGTGTTGTATCTTCAATGTTGTATGTCTGAGGTATCTTCCATGTTGTGTCTCTGATTTTATATCTTCTAATGTTATATTTTCAATTTGGTCGGAACTAAAATACAGTATTGGTAGATATAATATCGGTTTTCTACCTATATTGTATTTTTGTTATATCTTCAATGTTATACTTATGATGTTGTATCTTTAATGTTACGTTTATGATGTTCTATCTTCACTGTTGCATTTATGATATTGTATCTTCAACATTTATAATCTTCAGTAGAGTATCTTCGATCTTCCAGCGTCGTATTCATCATGTATCTTCCTTTTTAGAATTGTATGTGTTATGTATGTTTTATATGTGTGTTTATGTATGTATGTTTATGTTGTATGTAATATGTATGTTTTATTCTAATGTTTTATATATACATTAGAATTATGTGTTGTATTAATGCTATATCTTCCAGTATTATATCCATTATGTCTTCTGGTGTTGTATCCATAATATATCTTCCGATATTGTTCTTCTTGATATTGTATCTTCCGATGTTGTACATTCGATGTATATTGTAGCCCCCTCCCCCCAACCTGAACAATGTCTATACGCCGAAGACCGCCCTTCCCCCCCTCATACTAAGTGTCTCGAACATTGTATCTGTGAAGTCCCGTATCTATGTATTCCCCCATATTATAACTTCCGATCTTTCAACGTTATATTTATTGTTCTTGTATTCCCATTTATATCTTCCGATGTACAAGTATCTTCCAGTATTATGATGAGTAGTATCTCCCAGTATACAATAGGTCTATTTTTTAGCTAAACTAGGTTATATTTTTCGCGATTAGGATGACTAATATTAACCGACAGTTAACTGACAAAATGAGCAAATGAAGTTCCTAATTACTCTCTGTCAATTCCTTCTCCAACAATACTAGTTGGTTCCGCTCAATAAATGCCAGTTAACCATCAGTTAAAATTAACTAAAGTTTGCAAAAAGTCATCTTTATTCTTATTTCTACCAACGTCATTTCAATTTTACTATGGGTTTAAATCTTTGTCTGAAGAGATTTAAACTCATCGAAAAGGTTTAATCAACGCTGGTAGAAATAAGTATTATAATGGAACCAGTACATAACCGAGTGTTGAAGGAAAAAGCAATAAAGTTTCGAGTGCACTATTAGCTAAAAAGAACAGACCTATATATCTTCATATTACTTCTTCAAATGTCGTCAAATCTTCATATATCTTTAAATGTCGTGTAAATCTTGAGCTATGCAAATATTCGAATACTTGTTCACGCATTCGTATATCTGTTAAATAAGGATTAAACCAATCCTCCGAGTATTCGTACATGAATAATATAAAATACTCATAGTATTACGTGATTGATTTCATCCTTGTAACAGATAACGAGAAAGTGACAGAGTATCTGCATAATGTCATCTTCGTTATCTTCTAATGTCATGTTATCTTCTAAGCATTAATCTAGCTGTATCTTCGAATGTTGACTCGTAGAATATATTGTGATAGAGGTGCTCATTTTATAAAATATTAAAATAATTACTATATCAATATTAATATCTTATAATAAAATTAATAATATATCGTACCTATTATTATAATTTTACACATGAATTTCCCTTTTTTTTGGGCATAATATTTATATAAAATTTGTTATATGTAATTACATTAAAAAATTATAGCATAAAAATATATTTTTTTTTCTTCGGGAATGTTTTATATTATAATATATTTATCAGAAAAAATCAGATAATATATAATAAGTAATTAAAAATAGTATTTATAATACTATTTACATGTATATCTCTTATTTTTGAGCACCAGTTATTTTATTAAATATTTCTGTTTCATCTTCCTGCAAATTATTTTTATATTTTTACATTAACATTCCCGGTTATCAAATAATAAAATGATAGTATATAAAATGATAGCATATGAAATGATAGCATTTGATTTGATAGGTACGATAGATAAATTTAATGATATTAAATTTAACGATGATTCTTCATAACGATGTACTTCTTCTTTCTTCTTCTTCTTTGATCTTACTTTGTTGCTCAAGTTGAGTTAATAGCGTCGAAATATGTGTATTACATCGCATTGGGTTGTATTGACATAAAACATTATTGATAAAATTAACTCCTCGCGTTTAGAATCATGTCTTCCAGACGTTGTACGACTTTCGAATAGGAATCTTCCAACATGTATCAGGTTCATATATGTTTTATTCTCTGAACGTCAACTTAAATAAACGTATATACCCGCATGAACGTCCATTAAATACCCACGCAAAGAGTTAAGATACACTACGGCTAGCAAAAGGGATGCAATATTTTTTTGTACTCTTTTGATTCTCTTGTTAGTATTTCTTTTTGTTTCCCTTTTTCCCCTCTGGTACTATCTTCCAGTTTAAGTGAACAAAACAACCGGTCTATTATGAGATCTACCTTTATAATAAAAGGACTCTTATTATTATGTGTGTGTGTATATATATATGTGTATATATATATACACATACATATCTGTATATATACATATATACATATACACACGCGTCCATACGCGCGTACGTGGTTCAGAAAGTTGTACAACTAGATGAAGAATAAAGTTTCATTGTCATCCAGCGATACAATTTTCATAAGAGAATCCCAAAAAAATTCAACATTTTACCCTCTCTTCTTTTGAGGATCACATCCTCGGGATTAAGTATATCCCGTTGTAGTTCGGTAGTAACTGGTTCTTTTGCAGGAATATTTCTGCGAATATCGACTTTAATTCGACGTAATTCTATAGAACTAATTTGTGTGCCTTCAGGACCCTTGAACAAAGGTACCCCGCTTGTGGATCCATCTAATCTAAAGATAATACAGTCGTGACACATTAAATTATGTGTAATCGTCATTCTTTTTGTATGTAATATTATCTCTACGTAAGCGTAATATTGGTAAATCCGTCAGAAAAAAGAAATGCTTATATACAAATACGCAATTATATATACAATTATATATATATATAAGTTGTATCACTGTCACATTAATATATAAGCATTTTTAATGTCTTTTCCCTTCCTTAATCTTGAAGAGAAAAATTGTTCACTTGCTGAGTATATTATAATCAAATTATTATTTAGGCAGTGCTGGCTGGGACAATATTCTATGTAATTAATCGACCAGGGCTTGAAACAGTTATTGTTCTTAAATCTTTAGCATTATGGTTATTTGGTATTACAAAAAACAAAGATATTTGAATTTCAAGAAAATTAAAAAAACAGGTTTATCTTACTTTAATTCAACCTTTACAGGTTGAATTTGAATTCAAACTGTAAAATTTAACGATTATCTTTGTAAAAAAAAAAATAAATAAAAAATTGTCATAAGTATCTCGAGCTTCTCAGGTGTATACTCACATAAATGTTACATAAATGTAACATATATGCTTACAACTTACTTTTTAGACAGAGTGTTAGACTTGGGAGTCGGACTATTACTTTTGCTTCGACTGCGACGTGACGATGTTTGCTTGGATTTCATGGCTTCTTTGCGTTTTCTCTCATAATCTGAGATCAATTGTTTTTTTAATCTTTCGTGTTGTTTCTCCAATTCTTGTCGACGCATCCATTCGCGCCGACGCTTTTGTTTCTCGTCTTCATGTCTTAACCTTATCAATTGGTCATTTTCATTTTGTGTAGATCTTGATTCCCCACCACGTCGCAAGTTTGTCGAATGTGTTGGAATCATTAATGGCGATGGAATGTCAAGCAGAATCTGTTATTGAAATATATTAATTTAGATATAACATATAATTTAGATTTTGATTGGTTAGTATATATGTATAGGAGAAATATTTCATATTATATATATTTGATCATTTGCAATAAAAAAACTAATTCATTCTTATTGAGATCAAATCTTGGGTTATTCCTACATATTTTATTGAATGACTGATTTGTTAGAGTCAAAATTAAAGAAAAACACTAGGAAGTTACAAATTTTATTATATGATACACATTTCTAATGCATTGTTTTGATTGCTTGGAATGAGTGCAATAAATAACTACTATTTGTATGCAGACTGTTCTGATTGTACATACACGAATACATATACACATTATATACGTATATACATAAACAAGATGTGCCAGACTCCTCCGCAATTTTTTTGGGATTGAGATAAATATTAAAGTATATTTTGCAATATTCGCAATAATAATCGAGATATTAATTAAAGAAAATTAATTAAAAAATGATCACGTGATATGATAGATGAGCTGTAGCAACAATGTGTATTATCGTATGTTTGTATTAATTAGGACAAATTGAATGAAAAAGCCTGTTATTATTTTGTAAATAATCATGTAGAATTTTAATTATTAATGAAAGAAAATCGGTGTAGAATTGTGCACGATAATGCACAAATCTTCTTTAATTAATATCCTGCATATATATATATATATATATATATATATATATATATATATATATATA